CTTCTCCCACCTCTGTCCCTCCTAAACAGGTTATACCCCTCTATATTAGTAGCCCAGTCATGCGTGCTGTCCAGCCAGGTTTCCGCTATACCCACTCTGTCGAAGTCCTCTTCAATTAACCTAATTTCAAGCTCCTCTATTTTTGCTTTTTTTTTTAATATAAAATCTGGGTGGGATAAAAAATACACTTTGTGTGCAACAAATCCCCTAATAAACCCAGATATTACCTACTAAAAGCAGTAATGACATCACCACTGAGCTGCATATAGCCTGAGCAGAGCTCTGGGAGGGACCCAGCTACTCCACCGACTACAAGCTGCCTGACGAAAACTACAGGAGGGGGCGGAGACGGGACCAGTCACCGTGCACAAGGAGAGAGAGAGAGCAGTAATGACTGGTACTCATTACAAGAAGCTCCTGCGCAGAGGCAAAGTATAGGAGTTAATGCTGGATTACTGCACAGATCTAGAAAAATTCTATATAATTTGTGAGGTTCTTCTCCCTGCAGGCTGCTGCCGAGTCATTCATTCACAGATCCTTTGACCCTTGTTTGTGCTTTATATAACAGCACACACACCTTAGCACAGGGACCATGCTGTCCCCGACAGCACCCATTTCCTGTTTACAATCGGGAGCCTCTGGTGCAGGTTCTCAATCATGTGATCATTCATTGACAGCCAATTACAGTGATCACATGACTGAGAAGCCTATGTACCGCTGCTGGCATAATGAACGTTTAAATAGATGGCTCATTAAATAGAAAACTAATCATTTATTGGGGTGAGTTAAATATATGAATGTTTGGGGGTTTTTTTCTTCTCCATTGACCTCTTCTGAATGAAGGAAACATGACGACACTTGTCTGGGGCAGTGGATAAATTATGCTAATAATTCTTCCATTCCGTATTGCAGTTTTTGGAGCTCATGCAGGAAGTGGAGCATTACGGTTACGTGGTGTTAGGCCCCTGTACTGCAAACCTAACAGAGAAGAGCGGCGCCATTACAGTGGCTGTGGGCAGTATTAAACTATCCTGTAGCAGTGAGAATGAACATTTCTGTCTTCCCATCAACTTAATTACTGGATGGCATGTTAATATGCATGTGGTAAGTGGCCTGTGTGTAGTTTCTGCAGTAACTTTGTACTGAACGATAGGTATGTGACATGCTGACACCGTCCTTCTTTCTGGAGGGGCTACTTTGGTTGTACATGGTCCCTGTGTGTGTTGTAAAGTAGTCACCCCTCTAAGCTCACTCCCGTGATACACTACAATCTCAATACATATTGGTAAACTAAACGGGAGATTGTAGTCCATCATGGGAGCGAGCTTTGAGCGGTGACTACTTTACAACACACACAGGGACCATGGGGAACAAAGTAGCCACCCTCCAGAAGGAAGGACAGTGTCAGCAACAATTCAGAGATGATTTGAGGATCTACAGCCGAGTGATACACAAATAAGATACATTGTTGGTAATAGTTGAGGTACTTGAATGCAGACATCCCAATTCTCCCGGACGCTTCGGGAGTCTCCCGCTATTAGATAGCGGCTCCCGGCAGCATGGAAGAGCAACATTTTCTCCCGGAAAGGTTTACTTATAGTAAACCTTTCCCGGCTCTGTTTTTTTTTCCTGACAGCAAGGCGCCGGCCACCGTCAGTCAGAAAAAAAAAAAGTTCTGGGAGAGTCCGTCCAATCACAGGGCGCCCCACTGCTCCAGAAATCCTCCAATCACAGAGCTAAACGGTGACCAGGTGACCCCGCACACGTGACCAGGAAGTTGTGTGGGGTGTAGCCATATTTGTTTCGGGACCCGGTATGAGATCTCCCAGACCTGATTCTCACATCCATTATCGCTCTCAGTCGGTGTTCGGACTGTTTGCGTCTCCTATCAGCAGTAACAACACAAAAAATCCAGCGGAATCCGGGTATGACTAAGAGAGTGCTGGTCCACAGGAAAATGGCCGCCAATCTTTACAGAGGGCTCATTGGCCTCTGGCATCCATTAGAAGTAGTGTTGTGTGGTGACGTCATGGGGCGGAGCCAAAAAGAATTCAGGAAGTTCAGGTATGGATCGGGCAGGGAAGGGGGTCACTACATACATGATTCCTTATAATGGAACATACATGACTAATCATCTGTGATCATGACACGGTACATGTGTGATGGGGCGTGTATAATGGTGCTATCCGAGTCCTGTGGAGATTGATAAAGAGAATCTGTCACATTGAATGCAGACATCCCAACTCTCCCGGACGCTCCGGAAGTTTCTCGCTATTAGATAGCGGCTCCCGGCCGCCCGGGAGAGCAACATTTTCTCACAGAAAGGTTTACTCTGCTTTCCCGGCTCTGTTTTGTTTTTTCTGACATCGGAGCCGCTGGCCGCCGTCAGACAGAAAAAAAAAAAAAAACCACCATAGGAATGCATAGCTACATTCCTATTGGCTATTTCAATTTGCAATATCCAATAGCAAGCTAGCTATTGCACCCGCCCACTGCTGCTGTTAATCACTAAAAGTGTACCTGATGGAGAACTTCAGGTCCCCCTCTGCTGATTGACAGCAGCAGTGGGCGGGTGCAATAGCTAGCTTGCTATTGGATATTGCAAATTGAAATAGCCAATAGGAATCTAGCTGTGCTTTTTATTCTGACCGCAGCAACTGTCAGAATATATATAAAAAAAAAAAACAGCAGATAGCAGAGGAAGCTATAGCTTCTTGCTAACTGCCACCATTTCAGGGGGTGCTCTAACCTCCCTCCCCCTGAGGGAGGGGGGGGGGACAGAGGGCATCTGCCTGAAATGAGAAGGGCACCTCCCTGAAATTGCTTTTTTCAGGTTGGGATCCCTGTGAATGTATTTTGAGAATTTAACTCCTGAGTTTAGTGTCACTTTAAAAAGGAAGGCTGAGTGATTGTAAAATGAGTGTTTGCTCCCTCTAGTGGTTGATCTCTAAAATTGTAATGTATACAGTAAAAAATATGGAACATCACGCATGTTGCTGAACCCATATATAGGTCTCATCTATTGAAGGATCATTTTAGCCTGGTCCCACACTTCTTCCTATCGGTCCTGTATACACACAGTGGTAGTTTTGTATTACAAACGTCATTCTACGCTCAAAAATTGCTTCATCTGCTGTTTAAAATTAACTTTAAAGTACAGTACAACTGAAGACAAAACTTTTTTCAGTTTTGGATAGAGTGGAGAAGGATTAGAACACCTGTCTGTTTTTATTGCTGTTAGTGTCCCCATTAGGAGGATTCACCCTCTCTATCAGTCCTGGTGACTTATCACTGAAAGTGAAAGAAAATACCAAATTTTGGGTTGTCGCCAGAACAGGAATAGATGGAAAATCTTTCAATGGGGAGACTAGTTCTGATGACCCCTGCTGACCCCAAGGGATTTCCTTTTACTTCCTGTTGTGGCTATCAGACAGGAAGTGAAGGGATATCTCCCAAATGAGACCCATATGGTAAACCCCCCCTTGCGCTATCCAAAACTTTAAAAAAAATGGTTCACAGTTCTCCTTTAACAACATTATACTGATCATTTCGATTGTGTTAAAATATATTAGCTGAAATGTGATTTTTTTTTTTTCTTTCATTTTTTTTTTTAAAAGGAACCCTTGTCAGTTTTTTTTGTTTGTTTTGTTTTTGGCTGTCTCTGGCCTGTTGGGGAGGATTTCCCCATTTACCCGAGATGTAACTGAGAGGAAATCTCTCCAAATTTATTCACACGAGCAGTGTCTCAGTTTCAAGTGAGTGGTAGGGCAGCGGCCTCAAGTCGTTCAGGAGGAGGTACTGTTTTTTTAGTCCAAGGGGGGAGGGTTTTGCATGGCACACAGACTTTTACATTGGCACATAGTTGTCCTGTTTACATCAATGGTTACATTTTGCCCAATTTTTGCTGAGCCGCAAAGCATCGCAGTCCTGGCAATGTGTACAGCACTGTCCAGGGAGTGATAAAAATGCAGATCAACTGCCTGTTTACTGCCCCTTGGCCATCCATGTGAACAAGCCCTTAGACAGTTGTTATAAGAAGAGGAGGCCTTTTTTTTTTTTACAAATCCTATCATATTTATTCCAACACAGAAGAGGCCTTATTTGCCTCCCTGTTTTTATTTTTTATTTATTTTGATCATTGATATGATGGCATCTCTTAATGAATTTGCTGAAGCCATAGCACCAGAATGTAAAAGTATTGCAGATAAGAAATTGAAAAGAAACTGAATTTGTTGCATGCTTTGTAAATAGTAAAGAAACCATTGCACGGCTTTCATGAATTTTGGCGCTGGACTATCTACTATGGTCATTATGGCAGAAAAGTGCCGCAAGCGCTTTATTGAGTCACCACCATTGTTTTTATTTCAGCAGACTGAAAAATCCAACAGCCACCCGTTCGAGTTCAAACTGGAGTACAAGCAAGGACAACAGAGGACGTGGATCACAATATGGACAGAGCAGGTGTGCTGTTATATAAAATACAAATTACTAAGAAGGATACATTAATAGATGCATACATTTCATCATTATCCATGAATGTGGAATGTGCACAAATCAGATGCTTATTTGTTTACAGCTCAATATGTAATGAGGACACATAAGGGTTGATTTACAACTCTTCTGCCCAGTGTTTAAGCTGGGCCGATGCTGTTTGCATACCTCAATACTTTTTCCCAGTTTTTTGTGGTAAAATTAGGTACCTCGGCTTATATTCGGAACGGCTTATACTCGAGTATATACGGTAACACTACTGCCACTCGATGGCACTGAGGAGCATGGGAAATTCCTTTGCTCTTCAGTGCAATCCAGTGGCAGTAGATCGTTATAAATCAGCCCATTAATTTACTTTCAGACCACACACACATTTTTAATGTGTTGATAGTATGTTTCACAGTCTTAACAATGGTGGCCCTTGCCTGCGTAATATGTGTGAGTACACACATTGAAGTCTCCATGAGGGCATGTGCGACAGGATGACAAAGCAGGAGCACAGTAGAGAGACTATAGTCACCCCATAACAGGAAGCGCCTGAACAAGGACCTGCATGGCACCATCACTAGGTACTCTGAAATGAAAGATGCATATTTAAAAAAAATTGCATTAACGTGTTAAAGTTTCTACAAGAATTTATTCATTGGGATTTCATCACCAAGGCTTACATGTGAGAGCGTGATCATTTTTAATCCCAAATGACTTGAGTTTATTCAGGGTGTAATATCGCCACCTGCTGTCTATAAATGGCATTTATGATTTTGTGTATATGACATATGAGCAGCCGTGTTACTACATTTCTGTTAAAGTGATATATAAGTCAAAACGTTTTTAATCTAGTCCTGATTTAAAAACTTACAATGGATGCTGCTGCTTGATGTTTAAAACTTTTAGCTTCCTGCAGAATCGGCTGGTTCCCTGATTACTGTCATTGATATCCTGTTTTGGGGACCCTTGCACGGTGCTACGGAGCCACCCTTGTGTGTGCTAGTAAAGCTTTGTGTGTCTTCACAAACATGCAAGGCAAGCCATTCACCTGCTCCCTTCTTCAATCTAGCAGATGGGATATTTGCTGGAGACTATACTCTCCCTTGTGATCATGTACTGGACAGGAAGTTCAGGAAAGTGGAGCTGATGGAGTTGGACCTGTTCAGAAACATGAGGACTGGAAGTGCTTGGACAAAAATATAAAGAAATACTTTGTTGAGCAATGTGTATAGGTTTCTTCTGGATTCAGTAATAAAAACGTTTAAGCGTTTGATAATATTTTATGCGAAATGTCATGCAGTCACCAATTGAATACCCAAAGACAGGCCGTGGCTGCAGAGAGGCAGCAGGAGATCAGCAGTGCTAGTATGATATTTGTTTGACATAAAATGCTTTAGAAAGCTAATTGTCATTCAGTTAGGGTTTGCATCTACTTTGCGATGATATGTATTTATGATTGATATATGAATGATATTAGGAAGGACAGGTTGCAAAAGTCTATGTATGACCCTCTATAGTTCTTTGTGACCCTCTTGACTCCTTTATCTAAAGGGGGTTAAATGGGGGTTTTAGACTCCCCTATGGGTTTTAAGGTACACTTCAGTCAGAAGTGTATTTAAAAGGACCCCAATGCATATCACCCAAAGCAAAAACTCCCAAACCTCTGCTGGTCCATAGATGTTGTAAGCATCACTTGCAGTGATATAGTTTGTCCTCACCTGAAGTAAAAGGAATTAGTATTCAGTATGCTATCATTGCATGCATTAACTGCATACTGTTAAATTCTTTTTTGCAATAATGGTCTTTAATGTGCCCATACTTGTTCCAGGTTGCTCATGTATTAGTTAGGGAAGCCAGGATCATGATCACCGCCCCAGAGCCTGCACCTTCAAAAGCAAGTTGACAATACTTTCATCACAACAGGTTCTGTTTAAGTTTACTCCTCTCTGTTGTGAGGTTGTAATATACATTCTGGGACTAATAGTAGGCAGGTAGCAGCACATTTGTGAATTGTCTCCACCGTGTGCCAATGTCCTTGTTGATTGAATGGCGTTGGATCTCAAATGAAAATACAAATTGTGCTTCTGCTCTTGGTCATCACCCTCTGCAGTTCTTAGAAAACAGCAGTGAATAACAACCAGAGGCTCTAGTCGCACATGTGGAACTGTCTTGTCTAGTCACAATGGATTGTATAAAGTTAGCATTATGGATACAATGAATGAACTTCCTGTCATCAATATAAAGGCATTTTTTTCCCAAACAACATCAGCATTTCATTATAGTTTTGCTTTTGTAAACCGGACACACACACACACACACACACAATCAACTTTGCATTCATTTTTAGTAGATTATATTTGTTGATAAGTATTTTTTTTAATGTATTATTTTCCTTGTCATCTAAAAAATAATTGCATCTAAAAGATAAGCTGTGTGAAACCCCCCTCCACCCACATTGAAATTTTGTAGTATTGAAAAATGTGCATACATTGGTTTTACCCGTTGCAGCTAACTTTCCTGATGTCTCTTTTCCAGGCATTCCTACTCAGCAGTTGCTTAAAGAAGACACTGAGTGAGCAGCCAATGACTTCAGTCAAGGAGAGCCTGGAAATTGTGGGTGACTATTTGTGGTTTGCTGTGACCACTGACCAGTAATGATCTGATCAGCGGAATTGTCCATTTGCATGCAGATCTGCCTGATCTGAAGAGATTCAGTCCAGGCAATCATGTGTTACAATACCTCCTGGATCCCCATCTGTACATTCAGGGGCATAGCCCATTCTATACACCTGCAGCATGTCTCGTGCGCTCCAAATTGTGGTATTTTATCAATAGCCAGATGCGCACATAAGCGCATGCATGTTGGTGCACATGTGTTAGCGTGAACTGGAGTGTGTTCATTGGTGTGTATCCCTGATGCTGGGCGTGTTCACAGGTCAAGATGGTATTCTTCCTTACCTGTTGCTGATCCGGGTAGCCTGACTCTGCTTGTTTTTGCTGCCCCCATTGCCAACTCTGCTTGTTCCTCTATCTCTTTTGCTTGCCACTTGTCTCAACCTCTGTCTAGGTACTGACTAACCTCTTGCCTGCTGTTTGCATTGACCCCAACACAGACTCTGACCTTCCATTATTAGCATCCTTTCTTCACAGCATAGTCATTCTGTTTCTGCAAACCCTCGGCAGTGCAATTCTGAGGGCTGTGACCTGGTGTCACCTTGCAGCAAAGTAGCCTGGGGCCGCCAGGGTCGCCTCCGGCACATCACTCCTTGCGAAGTGTCCTGGTGAAGACCAAGTTGTCACCTAGACTTCGTGCCTTATGTGAGACTTCTGCAGCTGCCAGGGGTATCAGCCATAACACATGCTAATTAATTGAATGACACTCTGCTAAGTGGAGAAATCTGGTTGCATAATCTGATGAAGGAAAAAATCAGCAATTTGATTTTGCTCATCACTAGTTCTGATTTAAACTTAAAGTGGTCCCGTGTCCAGGCTATGGATATTCAAGTACTTGCATATTCTTGACAAACTTTAAATATGCTTTCCAACAAGCTGATCTCACTGATCTCTGTATCTGCAGGCACTTTGCTGCATTGGCGGGTTGCCGTCGCCAGACGGCATTTTTTTTCTGCTCGCGCGCGCCCCCTAGCGGGCACGCACGGGCAGAAAAGACCCGACCATTGCACACACCCGTTACCGGTTATTTCACATATAGGCGATCAGCGGCTCCATAGCCCGCCGATCGCCTATATGTGCTCGTTCGCGATCAGTTCCTTGCTGATCTCCGTCCGGGCTGTGAATGCAGAAGTGATGTGTATTACATCACTTCCGCATTCACCTGTCAGTCATCTGGCTGCTATAGCCAGAGAGAAGAAGCTGATGAAGCAGATCTCTGCTTCATCAGCTTCTTTTGGGGTCCCCAGGTGACTTTAGGGGTCCTAGAGACCCCTAATGTCTCCATAAAGAGGACCTGTCAGTGTGCCTTTGCTATTATATAGGGGGATTGTTATCCCCCTATATAATAGCAATAACAATAAGTGCAAAAAAATAAATATAAATTAAAATAAAATTAACACAAAAAAGTAAAATAAAATAAAAGTCACATATAAAAAAAGGGGAAAAAAACCCCCCAAAATGTTTAACTCCCCCACCCCCACGTTTACGCGCCTATAAACGTAAATACGCGTCCGGTGCCCCAGCGCGCAAAAATTACAATTGCGCTACACATGTTACATATCGCCGCGAACGTCGCAGTGAGAGCAATCATTTTAGGGCCATCAATCACTGATAACACTAAACTGATGAGCGGTAACAGCTTTTAAAGCGTCGCCTATGGCCAATTTTGGGTATTATCGTTTTTTGAGGTTTCGCGCGCGCACGCAATTTTAAGGCTTGACATGTTTAGTGTCTTTTTACCCGACGTGACCCCATCTTTTATATTTTACCAAAAAATTGGGTAATAATAAATGTTTTATCATTTAATATAGGGGAAACTGTTTTTTTTTTTAAATTTCGGTAATTTTTCCTTAATATAGTAAAAAAATAAAACCCCCAGTGGTGAATAAATACCACCAAAAGAAAGCTCTATCTGTCCCCAAAAAAGGGTATAAAATTCATTTCAGTACAGCGCTGCATGACGGAATAAATGTCAGTCAAAGTACCGCAGCGCTGAATACTGAAAAATGGCCTGGATGGGAAGGGGGTTTAACACCGCGGATGTCAACTGGTTAAAGCTCATTCACAGCTTGTTAAGAATGTTTAAATTTTTTAATGTCCATAACCTAGTCACAGTTCCATTTTTGAAAACTTCTTTAAACTTTCTTTTAAAAAAAATATCGCAACACAGTACATATTATTGAAATGGTTTCTGTGTTCTTCTCTCGAAGGTGGAAAAGAAGACATCAGCAAATGTATTTAGCAGGAAACCTAGACAGGTATGTTTACAAAGCATGGTCTTACATAGGTAACCTTTACACCCCAAGCTGTTCTGCCCTTTGATTCTACTTTTCTTTCAGGCAGCTACTTTGCAAAAAATAAAACCTGAATGTGTCAGAGAAGGGGCACTGCCCCGGAATGCTCTCCTGCTGCACATCAAACATGTTGCAAATGAAGGTTTTAAAAGAAACCTGTACTGAAAGAAATATGGAGGCTGCTGTTGCTGACCTCTGTATAGTTGTTTGGCTGTTTGTGACCAGTATTTTCTGGAAGCATGTAACCATTGCATTGATGTCAGAACAAAATAAGAACCGTTATCGGTTTGTGTTCCAGGTCCGCTACATTAAGCAGCCCCCTGAAGCTGACATGAGTACAGCTTTCCATTGGAATGAATGAGACCACATTGCAAAGGGGCCATATTCAGGAGAAATGCTATGTGGCCATGAACAGTCACACATCGCTGGATCAGGGCTGAAGGTAAATATTTGACACAGTTGGCAGCACTCGGGAGTTTGCATCTCCCAGATTCGTATTGTACACCATGTGAATCGGCAGACTGCATGGCTGTAGATTGTCGGGTAATCTAGATGAGTGAACGATTGGCCTGCCTTTCATAAATGAGCTCCTCTGTATAGGATTTATGCCTGTAGCATGGTTAATGATTACTGTATGATACACTATTTGCTCAGTTGGGCCACAACCATAAAATATTTTTGCATAGTTTCTTTGCAACTCCATGGAACTTCCATAAAAGCTGTTTTAAACCCTTAGCTGTCAGATTCACTCATACTTTTTTAAATGTATTTTTAGTTTTGTTTAGAGTGGTAAAGGATGAGAACTTCCGCCTTGTTTTTATGACTCTCTCTGTCGCTGCTGGGGAGATTCACCTTCTCAATTTGTCCTGTTGACCATATTCATTAGGAAAAAAGTGGTGTAAAATTATAAATATCACAGTTGTCTCCAGGAGAGGAAGTAAGGGAAGATCACCCAAAGGGGCACAGATTGCGAAAAACCTGACTGGGTTTCAACTCCAGGGGTACGCAAACTCCGGCCCCCCAGCTGTGATTTAAACTACAAATCCTATTAAGCATTGCAAGACTCTGACAGCCACAGACCTGACTCCCAGTGGCATGATGGGATTTGTATTTTTACAACAGTTGGAGGGCTGTTTTTTGCCCACCCCTGAACTATACCCTACTTTGTCCAAAACTAAATATGAAAACCTTTGTTGGAGATGTACTTAAAATACCCTTTTGTATGTTTTTATTGATACAGCTCTTTATCAGCAGTTATTTACCAGCTGACTGCAGGTAGTCAGTAGGCATATTGCAATGTATAACAAATTGATTTACAAAAACTGTCCAATCTGCTTGTATATTCAGATAAAACAAGAATCCGGTTGATATGAGCAGCTGTACAATTTCTTTTACCCTTTTGAAAATTGGTTCCACAGTGCTCTCATTCATTTATTTATTTTGGTACAGGTTGAAGTCTCTATGAAAAAAGTTCCCTGCTCATCCAACCTTGAACAAAGTAATATGTTTGAGTCTCAAGATTTGAGTCTGTAGTATCACTCTATGGGCTTGCTGGACTAAATCCTGTGAATATAATTACAATAATATCTCTAGAATTTCTATTGTCTGCTATTACCAGGGATACAGGCTGCACAGAAATTTATAGGCTGCCCGTACAAAAGGCAGACAAATGAAAGCACTTGTAAATGAGATATTTTCCCACCTTGTGGGGCACACCACCAGCAATTAATTTACAGAGCAAACACAAATAATAATATAGGTATGGTAGGTTATTGGTAGGCTATAGGTAGGTTATTTGAACGCTTTTCTTTTTAACTCGGCACCAGCCGGGGTTGCAGCACTTCACATGTCCTGGTGATGTCACTTCAGCAACTTTTGAACAGTGTATAGCCACCTAATAGAGTCTCAACTCTTCAGTTGACTTCCAGGCACACTATGCATCCCTTCGGTAATAACTGAATATTTACAGTACATATATATACATGAGAAACAACCAAACTAATGTAATGTTTTGTACGATCCTTATTGTATAATAATCGCATGTAATCACATTTGTAAACTTTTAATACTCTTCTGTAAGTAGTAGAGAATGTATAGTGAAATGTAAATAATAAAATGTATATATACATCTCTGATAATCATGTTGGTTATTGCTACACACTATACATATACCAAAGTCTGCAGGTTAAAGTACTTATTTTGTCTTGTTCTGTTATTTCTTTACAAACTTCATAGTGTTGAAGCATCCCATGGCAAACATTCAAATGGTATTCTCAAGTGGTGGGCTGCTCTATAGCTATCTGTGGCAATCTCATCAGTATCTACAGTCCCCTTATTGACAAGTAAAGTGGGCAAATGCCTACAATAACAACATGTGTTTCAGGTGGAACTGCAGCTGAATCGTTTTTATGGTTTTGGAAGGAATGAGGAAGGGACAGAGCTTCTGTATTCTAGATTTTTTTTTTTTATTGTTCTCTTTGTCCTTATTGGCGAGATTTTGCTACACAAAGGGGGGGGGGACTTTATAACCAATTGCGGCACTATCCGCAGTCACTGCGAGCACCCAACCCCCCATCCCTCCCCCCACTACAAGGGATTTTTCGGTAAGGAGTGCAACAAGGAAAAGTATTTATCGTATGACTTTATAATCAACTCGCAGAGCCATTTGTCCTGCAAAACTTTGTGAGCATTTGTTCTGTGCAAATAGAGGTAAAATGACCGTTCTTGGTATATTTGCTTTTGAAGTTGAATGTAATATCAGTAAGTACTGCATACCTTCCAGCAATTCTGCAACACAAATATGTACCCCTTGCTCCGCATCCTCAACCCCCAGATTGTGACCTGCTCCAAAAGTCAGAAAACGACTGTACATAAGGCCCCATTCACACAGATGTGCACATGGCACATTCTGGGATTCCTGCAACAACAACCTGCAGATTCCCGTGGCAGGATCCCAGGTGTCCCCGTTCAGGTGCAGCCACTGTACCCTTTGAAGTTAAAAATGAACTTTACCCATATCTTCAAAATAACAACAAAGGCACCTTTAGAAAAGTTTAGTAATGACAATCTACAAACACATACTTCTAGATCATTGCCGGCTTTGTATTCTTTGCATACATTATTACTCTTTTCCTCCCAATTCTTCTCACAGTGGCCATTTTTACTAAGGGCAGATTACTAGATCTCCCTCTACTTCCTGGAACTCTGGCACATGTGACTGGGATATGTAACCATGCACATCATCTCAGGGGAGGTAAATGCCTTTCCCTGAGGTCTCATGAGACTACAGATAATATTTCCTAGCAATGCTCTGCTGATATAACCTTCTCAGGATGCAATGCTTTGGGCACAGATTACATCATTTGTGCCAAAGTGGACCAGGAAGTGTGCCCTATCCAAAAGTAAGCAAAAAACATTTTGGCTATTTGGCCACTTCAGGTGGCTCTGGTTCTCAAAATCCTGATCGAAGCCCACAATATAATTGAGACTGCAAGTCTTTTCTGTAGGTTAACATGTTGTTAAAGAACTGCCTCAAATTCAACTTGCGCCTCCTGCAGAGCAAAATAAGTATATTTTCAGTGCTCTGCCCTTCTTATGGCTTCTTGTTTTTTAACAATATCTGTTCTCTCAGGATTACGATTTATTCCTCAAACCATGAGACCCATTGACTGCTGCTAGTCATTTTGCTCAGTGGTGTGTGAGAGCTGTTCCTTCACCCTTTGGCCTGAATCTCTTACTGCATCCCATCGCTGCCAGTCCATGTCGGGGATTACAAAATTATTCACAAACAAATTCCTCATCTGTGCAATCCAAAATT